ACATTTGTCTGACAAAGGACATATTTGAAATACACAATGACTCCTACAATTCAATAATAGAAAGACGAACAGTCCAACTAAATTAAAATATGGGCAAAATAATAATTGAATCGACATTTCACAAGCAAAACATTATGAACGGTCAGTAACCGCACAAACCAGTGCTCAGCATCTCTTGTCATCAAGGAAGTGCAAATTAAAACTGCAATGTGATATCACTACATGCCCTAGAATGGTGAAAATTAATAAGACTGATAAAACCAAATACTGACCAGGGAACGGAGCAACAGGAACTCTGGGTGAAACAGAAAATATTATAACCACTTTGGAAAAGTTTCAACTGATTTATTTATAAAGTTAAACCTACTCCGTGTATCTGTCTAAGAGAAATTAAAATCTATGTCCCAAAAAAAGTGTAGAAAAATATTCATAGAGACTTCATTACAGTGACTGGAAGTGACAATCCCCACAAATGACTGCATCTGTTTGTCAAAATTGTACAGTTAGTGTGTGTTTCGATGTCTGTAACTGTTGACTTAAAGAGGGACCATAAGATTTAGAGGTCACCAAGATGGTGGGGTAGGAGATCCCAGCCTCCATCCTCACACAAAGAATCTAAAAAGGATGAAATCATAGGAACAGAGACTAGATTGATGGTTACCAGGGGCTGCAGGTGGGGGAAATGTGGAGATGTCGGTCAAAGGGTACAAACACTCCAGAAGAATAATGCACAGCACGGTGACTATAGTTAACAACACTGCAGTTACCAAGCTATACACTTACACTGCTCTGTACACTTAAAAGTTGCTCTGAGAGTAGATCATAAATGGTCTCATTGTAACCAGAAAATGGTAATTATGAGAGACGAAGGATGTGCTACCTAACCTCATTGTGGTAATCATTTTGCTGCATACACATGCATCAGATAATCACATTGTACACCTTCTCTGTACTGTCTTCTCTGGAAAAATGTCTGTTGAGTCTTCTGCCCATTTTGTTGAATCAGGTTGTTTGTTTTCTTGGTATTTTTGTTGTTTCAGCTGTTTATGCATTTTGGTTAGTAACCCTTTGCCTGTCGCATCATTTGCAAACACGTTCTTTCACTCGGTAGGTTATCTTTTGTTGTTGTTGATGGTTTCCTTTGCTGTGCAAAAGCTTTCAAGTTTGATTATGTCTCATTTGTTTATTTTTTGCTTTTATTTATTTTCCTTATTTTAGAGATAGATAAAAAATATTGCTAGAATTTATGTCAAAGTGTGTGTTCTGCCTGTGTTCTTTTCTAGGAATTTTGTCGTTTCAGATCATGAATTTAGGTCTTCAAATTGTTTCAAGTTTGTTTTTGTATATGGTATGATCAAACATTCTAATCTTATTGTTTTATGTGTAGCTGTCCAGTTTTCCCAGCACTACTTACTGAAGAGACTGTCTTTTCCCTACTGTATACTCTTGCCTTTGTTAGGTTAACTCATCATTCACGCGTGTTAAGTCACTTCAGTCTTGTCCAATTTTTTATGACCCTATGGACTGTAACCCACCAGGCTCCTCTGTCCATGGGAATCCTACAGGCAAGAACACTGGAGTGGGTTGCCATGCCCTCCTCCAGGGGATCGTCCCAACCCAGGGATTGAACCTCCATCTCCAGCATCTCCTGCACTGGCAGGCAGGTTCTTTGCCACTAGTGCCATCTGGGAAGCCCTAATTACTCACAGGTGAGTGGGTTTAAGTCTGGGCTCTCTTTTCTTCCATTGATCTGTGTGTCTGCTTTTTCTGCCAGTATCAAGCGGTTTTGATTACTGTATCTTTGCAGTATAGTCTGAAGTCAGGGAGCGGGCAGTCAATGTTAGTAATCAGGGGTGCAGTGTATCAGTATCTGAAAAGAAACCATCAGCAGGCAGACAACAGAAACCTCTGGAGGCACAAAAGCACACAGTGTTTCTTCTGAGTAACTCAGTGCTTTAAAGAATTATTAAAGAATGACCCCAGACCACATTTGCTGCCAGAAAATTTGTCAGGTGATAGAAATGAGAGACTTCCACATCCTAAGATTGAAAAAAAGAAAAAAAGAAAGCATTGTTATCTCTCTTTTGCCTAAGTATCAGTTCAGTTCAGTTCAGTTGCTCAGTCGTGTCCGACTCTTTTCGACCCCATGGACTGCAGCACGCCAGTCCTCCCTGTCCATCACCAACTCCCAGAGTTTACTCTAACTCATGTCCATTGAGTCGGTGATGCCATCCAACCATCTTATCCTCTGTCGTCCCCTTCTCCTCCTGCCCTCAATCTTTCCCAGCATCAGGGTCTTTTCAAATGAGTCAGCTCTTCGCATCAGGTGGCCAAAGTATTGGAGTTTCAGCATAGCAATAGTAACTTTATTGTTAAAATTCCAGCAGGAGAAAGAATTCCTATAAGCCCACATCTAACCTCTAACTTTTTTCCCCATTGAAATATTTATTCCTACAATGTAAATTTTTATAAAAACAGTTTTTGGGGGGAGAATGCAATTATCCAATCATAGCAGAGGAGCATACACTCAAAATGAAGCAAAACAGACTCCAAGCTACACAATACAAGTCATAAATCAGCTGTTCACATGACATCGGCAAGTCTTAAACGGCTGATTCACTGGAAGGAAAGTAAACGAGGCAATACAGTTGCCACTAGTGCTGGTCATTGGAATCAAGGTCTCTGTAACCTGGATGGAGCACGTAGGTTTTTTCCTGTCCCTGGTAGGTAAGCAGAGCCCCACCTCACACCTAGTGATGATACCTGGGCGTTTCTGAGCTGCCGAGCAAGTGAGCCTCCACCACACAAACAGAAGTTTTCCCCGATTCCTGAAGCGGTGAGGGCGGGGGAGGGGGCAGGCAGAGCGGCTAGGACCATGGGGCACTCGGGCATGGGGGCCTACCTTGGTCTCCCAGCGAAATCAGCAGAGAAGGATTCTGGAGCCTGGGAGAGAGCCCTCTGGAATTCAGAAAACACTGGGTTGTCCCTACTGATGGATGATAACTGGATTAGATGCTCCCCAATTAGACGAGCTGAGCACCCACCCTCAGGCTTCGAGCCAGGCAAGACTTGTCTAGAAATCCACTTTTCCAATCTAACTTTAACAAGAAAAGAAATTTATAAATGGAGATGTCAAAACAATTGTAAAGGAAAATGTCAAATGGAAATTTAGATAATTCTGCTCCTTTAGTGGGAGTTCTAAAGCTACAGATAACACGGCCAAAGCAAAGAGGGCTGGAGCCAAAGTGGACTTCACCGAGATGAGTCATTACTGCAATTTCCAGATCCACCACTCATCCGGGAAGGCTCGTCACGGAAAAGAGCTCGGCACACAGAGCGGGGCCCTTGGGGTCCACACGGCCCTTGCCCAGCGGTACATGCTGTGGTCTGAACTATCAGAATGTCTGCACACTCCAGGACAGGTGACACGTGCCGTGATCAAAGCCAGCAGAAGAAAGAGACGCGCACAGCAGACAAGGCAGCGGGTCCTCCCAGAAGGGCTGGTGGCAATCAGGCACTAATGAGAGCGTCCAGGTGACTAGGAGTGACATCCCAGGAACAGCCTTCCCGAAAAGAGGCCTGAAGTGATGAAATTACAGCCTCGCTGGTTGAAGGGAGGACAAATTGGGAGCTTCTTATTTTTCAACTGTGTCAAACACAAGTTAATAACCAGCAGGGCCACGGGTATCTACACCACCACTGGCCATTACATCCCCCGTGTGCTGTCATTCACACTGGGTCCACAGTGATTATGCTGTTGAACCCAGCAAGTTATTGTGGACGAGGAGTCCAACCTCAAGGACACATCAGGTTTTTTTTGGTTTTTTTTTAATCAGATGCACAAGCAGTAGGTCTACATGGCAGCAGTTCCAATATCTGGGAACTGCAGAGACTTGATAATTGAAAATTAGCCTAAAATGTGCAAATAGAAGATAAATGAGGTTAATCTAAACTTGCCCACAGTCCTCCTACTTGTTAACCCTGCAACGGGCAGGTCACTCGGCTCCTCGGAGAGGCTAAAGTGGCCCATCTATGAAACGCATCCCTGATACCCGACGGCTGGACCCGGGGCCTCCTGGAGACCCTTCAACTGTTCCCTCACTGAGCAGTCATTGTGCCAAGAGCCGGGAGGGGACACAGACGGAACAAGGAGACTCTGTTCCCATCTCCAAGGATCTTACCACCCAACTGGGGCGAACAGATGGTAATAACTATGACAAAGCAAGACGAAGAAATCTAATACAATAGAGAAACAAAATACTAAAGAAATACAAAGAGCCAAGAGAGATTAGTCCCATATGGCCCACAGCGGACAGTGGCATGAAAGAGGTGGCATGTGAGCCGATGGTTATTAGGAAGGAAGGAACAAGGACCCTCAATAGGATGAAAGCAGTAACATAGAACAGGAGCAATGGATCTGGGATATTCTAGAAAGCCAGGGTGGGCAGGCCTTGATGAGAGGTGGACAGACCACATTCCCTGGCTTCCCGTCCTTAAGAAAATTACTTCAGCTCAGCGTCTTAACTCCTTAGAATCCACAACTTTGCAAATCAGCTTAGGACAGACAAGCTGACTTGAACATTAATTCAAGTTAATGTAGTTTGTGCTTTATTTCAGTAATAGTTATAAAGACAGAATTATAAAATAAGTATATAACTAATAAAGATAAGCAATGGTATATATGCATATGTAAAGTAATATAAATATATCTATAGGTAGATAACTGCTAAAGAATCTAAGAGCAATGAACTCAGGCAGTTTAAACTATTTTCTCATGACTCTTCAGATGTTTTCATCAGTGTGTTATACTTGAGACTGGAAGATGGGGGACACAAGGAAAATTTGATGATGACTCTCAGCATTTCAGTAAGAAATCATCTCACAGATGATGATGGTAAAAACGATCTTTGAATTATTTGATAGTGAAATATTTGCTTTGTTCTAACCGCTTATAGCATTTCTCATTCTAGAAAAAGAGCACCAATGAGGCCGACGATAAAATGAATAAATCAGAGTCTGCTGGAGTAGAAAGAATAATAACTAACAAACAAAAAGCTGCAAAGCTGCTGCGCTATAAACCTGCCCTAAAGGAAGCAGAGGGCAGGGGGAGGGTGGGGAGAGGGGTGTCAATGCTCTCTAGAGACCGTCTCTGGAAACATGCCCACCCAGCTCCACCCAGCTCCACCCAGCTCCACCCATTACCATGGGCACAAACTGAAGCACCTCAGAATGTGATCCAGTCGGTTAAAGAGAAGCTTCCTGTCTCCATACTTGTTTCATCTTTATATGACCAGAGGGTCGGCATGGAGGAGACCAACTGAACACCATCCGTGGCCTCATCTAGCAGAAGCAGGGCAAACGAGGAGAAATTAAAAGCAAAGACCCTTCTGTTGAACACGGAAGGAAAAAGTTCTAGCATCCATGATTCCTTTCAAGGGAGCAGGACTTTGCAGATGGAGATGTTCAGATAAAGGCTGGACACAATACATGCTATTTCCCAAGCACTGTCCTAGGTCCCTTACAAATATTAATGTATCTAATTTTTACAAAGCCATATGAGGTGAGGACTTTCCTTACCCCATACACAGACGAGACGCGCTTCCGAGGTGGCGCGGTGGCCAAGAACCCGCCTGCCAGCGCGGGAGACCCAAGAGACACGGGTTCAGCCTCTGGGTCGGGAAGGCCCCCGGGAAAGGAAATGGTAACCCACTTCAGCGCCCTGCCCGGGAAATCCCGTGAACGGAGGAGCCTGGTGGATACCGTCCGTGGCGTCGCGAGGTGCCAGACACGACTGAGCACGCGCACAGCCGCAGACGACCGAGAGAAGCGGAACCCAGAGACCACGTGGCCTTCCCGAAGGCGCCCAGCCGGACGCCGCACGGGCTGACCCGCTCCGGGGGCCGCAGCCGCGATCGGGCTGCGGCTGTGCGCTCTGCAGACGTGTCCCGCAGAGTCAAACCACGGGTGGGTGGTTGGCGAAAACCAAACCCGAGACCACGTGAGTCTACAGAAGGATCCCAGTACGACCGCACGACTCAGGTGTGTCCAGCCCTGTACTTGGGCCTGAGGAATACTCAGAAGAAAACTTTAAAGGGCACTTCCTTGTATTCATGGGGTCTAGTAGACTGAAATAGTATACACACAGGTATAGAAATCAGATGTCTTAAGGATTAATCTCAAAAATATACAAGCAACTCCTCCAGCTCAACTCCAGAAAAATAAATGACCCAATCAAAAAATGGGCCAAAGAACTAAACAGACATTTCTCCAAATAAGACATACAGATGGCTAACAAACACATGAAAAGATGCTCAACATCACTCATTATCAGAGAAATGCAAATCAAAACCACAATGAGGTACCATTACACGCCAGTCAGGATGGCTGCTATCCAAAAGTCTACAAGCAATAAATGCTGGAGAGGGTGTGGAGAAAAGGGAACCCTCTTACACTGTTGGTGGGAATGCAAATTAGTACAGCCACTATGGAAAACAGTGTGGAGATTTCTTAAAAAGCTGGAAATAGAACTGCCATATGACCCAGCAATCCCACTTCTGGGCATACACACCGAGGAAACCAGATCTGAAAGAGACACGTGCACCCCAGTGTTCATCGCAGCACTGTTTATAATAGCCAGGACATGGAAGCAACCTAGATGCCCATCAGCAGACGAATGGATGAGGAAGCTGTGGTACATATACACCATGGAATATTACTCAGCCATTAAAAAGAATTCATTTGAATCAGTTCTAATGAGATGGATGAAACTGGAGCCCATTATACAGAGCGAAGTAAGCCAGAAAGATAAAGACCATTACAGTATACTAACACATATATATGGAATTTAGAAAGATGGTAACCATAACCCTATATGCAAAACAGAAAAAGAGACATAGATGTATAGAACAGACTTGTGGACTCTGTGGGAGAAGGCGAGGGTGGGATGTTTCAAGAGAACAGCATCAAAACATGTATATTATCTAGGGTGAAACAGATCACCAGCCCAGGTTGTATGTATGAGACAAGTGCTCGGGCCTGGTGCACTGGGAAGACCCAGAGGGATCGGGTGGAGAGGGAGGTGGGAGGGGGACCGGGATGGGGAATACATGTAAATCCATGGCTAATTCATTTCAATGTATGACAAAAACCACTGCAATGCTGTAAAGTAATTAGCCTCCAACTAATAAAAATAAATGGAAAAAAAAAAGAAATCAGATGTCTTGCTTTCTAACAAAGAGAGTTCTGATCCTATTCATCACCCAGACTCCACCCACCACCAGACATAACCCTCCCACTGCAGCAGGCCCTGCGGAAGCCTGAGGCCCTGGACGACTCCTGGAGGCGGAGCTCGGGCCACTCACGTGATAACTGCATCCGTGTTTCACTAGCAAAGTGCTTACGTGAGGTTCCCCACCCCACAGGACGTTCCTGAGTGAATTAGACAGATTCGTGACCAGAATTGAGTAAGGACCTCACATCTCTACTCCACCCACCTGAGATTCCACCATTAGATATTCACTCCTTTGAATCTTGAGAAATTTGAGAACTCTCCCTCTTCCTTTAAAATAAATAAAGCCGGAAAAATGCTGTATTTTAAAGTATTGGAAGTGTTTTAAGGGAATTAATTGGTTAAATCTCCATTTGAGCAACCGTTTGCAAGAATGGCACTGGAGAGAAAGAAGTCCAGAGGGCGCCTATCTTACCCAGGCCCAGCCTGCAGGCTTCACAGTCCACTCGCTCCGTGAGACATGGCAACCTTCCCTTTGTGAATCAGAGCAATCGCTGGTCGCTGGCCAGTGGACAGGCGGGCATCCAGTGAAGGCTCCATCCTCAAAAGGAGTCCTTCGTCCAGGCTCTTTCTTCGTGACAAACCCACTGGCTTTGCTGGGCATTTTTTGAAGCCAAAGGTGCAGCCCCACCCTTCTTTATCCAATTCCTCCTGCTAATTCTCACACTCAGACACCCCTCAGTGCTCTGTTCAAGAGCATCCAGGGAAGCACCAAGCTGAGGAAGAGTATTACACTCCAGCATGAAGCAAGTTTGCCTTTGTCTCTTGTGTAAGCAAATAAAGCAGATTTGCCCCACTCCTGTTTCCTTTCACCTTCCCTACGAGTGGGAAGTGGGGTGGATACAGGCATGATGCAGTGCCCGAGCTACTGCAAGCCTTCATCAAACGTCTCCACCACACAACTGCCTGGCACTCTTGCCGCGTGGGCCTCGGATTTCACGCTGGGGACCCAGGCACAGAAGAAGCTGCAGCTCTTCCTCTTCGTCCTTCTCCGTAGACGGGGGAGAGTGACAACCAACACTGGATGCGACAAGGATTCTCCTTTATTTATTCAGCACCTACCCTTGCTGTGACCATGATAATCCACAGATTGTACGTAAATAGAAAGTAATTGAGAAAAAGAACAAAACGGTCTTAGAGAGTTGTAGATCATAGACTGAAGAGCGTGATCAGATAACTGTGTGTCATAGAAGGGCTCTTATTTATTTGCAAATTAATTTTGTTTGTGATCAGGACAACTGACATTATTTTTTAGTGAGAAAATCTGGGGGAAAATACAGTGAAAAGGGAGAATTTTATGTAAGAGAGACAAACAAAAGTTTTAAATGCTGTGAGATGAAAAGCATCTCCTGAAATGTCCAGCCAGTGTTGAAATCACGAGACCCAAGGGCCTCTGATTCCCGCTCAGAGTTGGCGAGAGAACCCATCCTTCACATGAAGTTGGGGGCTGGAGGCAGCAGAACCCTAATTCTTTCCTCCACCTCTCCCCTGCATCTTCAAGGCAGCGAAGAGCAATAGCTAAGAGCATAGAGCCTGGGTCTGGCCAGCACCCCCTCCTGGGCGCTGTCGGGGAGGGTGCAGAGCAGCAGGCTATGTGGCAGCCACAGAGGGCAGGGTCCTTGCCGCCACCTGGAGCAGAAGGTCCACTGTATGCAAAGTCGCACATGCCTTTTCATGAAGACAGGTTTCCCTTAGTGGTCAGATCTTCGAGTTTTCCATAAGTAACGCAATGATTACGACAAACCTAGACAGTGTATTAAAAAGCAGAGACATCACTTTGCTGACAAAGGTCCATAGAGTCAAACCTGTGGTTTTCTAGTAGTCACGTATGGATGTGAGAGCTGGACCATAAAGGAGGCTGAGCGCTGAAGAACTGATGCTTTCAAACTGTGGTGCTGGAGAAGAGTCTTGACAGTCCCCTGGACAGCAAGGAGATCCAACCAGTCAGTCCTAAAGGAAATCAACCTTGAATATTCATTGGAAGGACTGAGGCTGAAGCAGAAGCTCCAACACTTTGGCCACCTGATGTGAAGAGCTGACTCATTGGCAAAGACCCTGAGGCTAGGAAGGATTGAAGGCAAAAGGAGGAGTGGCAGAGGATGAGATGGTTAGACAGCATCACTGAATCAATGGATGTGAATCTGAGCAAACTCTGGGAGATGGCAGAGGACAGGGGAGCCCAGCGTGCTGCAGTCCATGGGGTCACAGAGTCAGACACGACTGAGCAACCGAACAGCAACAAGAGCACAGTGAACTTCATGCATCCTGCTCATTACCCAAACCAGAAGGCATCCCAACCAGGCACAGAAAGCAGGAGGTGACTGCTCTTACTAGAGTGTCCTAATGAACAGAGCCGTCAACCAACACCTAGCCTCCCCTTGCAATCGAGGGCTCAGTGAGACCCCGTGGGCAGGAGCTGTAAGAGGAAGCCTGCTGCTGGGACAGGAAGAGGGGCACCAAGGGAGAGTCTGTTTTCTGATGAGAGGCAGGTAGTTGCTGGGACAGCCCCAGCCCAGTTCTTCCCACCTTGGAAGCCAGAGTGGTTCTAGAACATCTCACAACCAGTCGACAACCACGGGTCCCTAAGTAAAGAGGGCACTGAAAATGGAAGGCAAAAGAAAGATCAGGTTTTCCCAGAGGCAGTATTGGGCTACGCCAGCTGAGCCAGAGCCCCGCTCCAACACCCCGTGGCTGGGAGATCAACGCCTTTCTTCCTTAAATCCCTCGGTTATCTCTAGCTACAAGCACTCCTGATATGCCAGCCAGTCTAAGAGCACAAGTGTGCATTTTCCATCAGAAAACAATGATGTCTTGATGACTAATGTTAATTAACTGTGTAATTGTCTGTTACCATTCTACCAATAAATAAATAACAAAGGCAGAAGTGAGGCTCCCTTTAGAAGGAATGCAGGCCTAAGCTTTACCCAGTGACCTAGCACTATATTTTGCTAAAATCCAGGAAACAAAACCTAGATTTTTAAGCCTGAAGTTTTCAAGTCCTGTTTCTCTCTTTATATACCAAACATGTACTAAAATATGCACATGTTTTAAGACATTTATACATATGTATAAATGTACATTTTATAAGACATACTTGTGCTTCTGAGAAAAGTTGAGGTGATGTACCACCTGTGGTTTTCAAGTCTTTACTAGTTTCCCATGATTCTTTACATTTTCAAGGACTGGTATTTGTAGCAGAGCACCCTTATTACTAATAACATCACCTTAAAGTTATACAGAGCTTTACTATCTATAGCACTTTTATATGTACTCTGTTTTTAAAATGTCTATAAACTACAAAGGGATTGGTATTTCTTTGATTGAGTGCAGAACAGAGTATGTGAAGACTTAGGAAAACTAGAATAAAATCATTCATATTCTTTACAGGCATATAAAGATAAGACAACAGGTTAAGAAAGGAGGAAGGATGGGAAAATGAAAAAGGAGCTAGATATGAGAATAAAATAATAAAAACTGAAAATGCAATAACTCAACTTAAACGTGCTTTAGAAGTTGTAAAAAAAATTGTATGGAGCGTGCACAAAATTTGATTAATAACATGGAGGATAAACTGGAGAAGCTCCACAATTAATAGAGGA